TCAGTGTATTTGTAATTAAAAAAAAAAAAAAATCCTCTTACTTTTACAGACTCCAGTTCTACCAGGCACTTAAAGAAATGTTTTTCCAGTGATGCATTTATCCATAGAATTAAAAATATGCAAATATTTAAACCAGGTTCCTATTTCTTCTATTCCTCACTTGTTAGCAGGAAAATTGCAGCCTTCTGATGGCAATTTTTCTGTTTATTACCTTTTATTAAAAGCATGCTACACAAATATAATACTTAAAACACTACCAATAATTACCCAGTCCACTAGGAAATTCCACTGTGTCATGCCTACCCTAAATAAATTCTTGAAACTCATTCTATTTTATCCTGAAGAAGGATCAGCTGAAATCAGGATTTTATGAAGAGTAACTTACTGATTGCAGTAGAACATGGTCAAAGGAAATAAATCAAAAATAAAAGCAAATGTTTGGGAAAATAAGCAAAAAAACCCCAAACCATATAAATTGTTTAAATCACAAGGTCTTCAGACCTTTGGAGTTATGATGTTCAAAAAGGATCAGAATCAAGCATACTTTTTCCTGTAGCTAAGAGAGAGCAATTCAGTAATTGCAGTTACAGCAAAAGCAATAACTGTACCTTATAGGTCAAAGTGTGCAAATACTTACATGCTTGTAATACTTCTCCATTTGGACTGGAGCTTACAAACTTACAACTTTGGAAATCAGGCCAACTATGGCCCAGTATGTAATTCCACCATCCCAGAAGTAGAATAAGATTCAAACTGCATAGAAGCTGTCACAACTGCTCAAATCTTCAACTTATATAACAATGCTCCCAGGAATCTATTCTAAACATTTTTTGGAGGGTTGTAGATTCCCCTTATGTGTCTTTACTTTTAAAATTGCTAGTTTTCAGCTTCTGAAAAAGGAAAATTGGATTTAAGGTATAGGATAAATCATATTGGAGCTACATGAAATGAAACACTGAACCAGCACAGGCTCACTCTGCCACTTCACATTTATACAAAAAGTTTTGTAGTATATCTTTGTCCTAGCAGATGTCAGATCCTTATCATCCAGCCTCCACCAGTCAGATAAATCTGGTATCAAGCATCAAGACAGGATAAGTACCATAACGTGGTCTCTCGATAATTCAACTGAAGTGCCATAAAGCAGTTATGTGTGATCCAGATCAAATTTATACTGCCAGGTTATTTGATAATACACAGATACAGCATTAGTGAACACAGAGCCACAGGCTTCAAACAACTTCAAGTATCAAGACCAATATATACCAGCTAGCTTTTACTCTGTTCTTTGTGAATTCCTCTGGGGTTTTTTGCTATCGTTAGCTGGAATTCTACTTGGGATTCACACTTAATATTTCACGGTGCACTTGGGTGTATGTCATCAGAGGGACGATGTTCATAAATCATTTTTGAAACATGGTCTGTCATTTTATTTTTATGTCTACTCCTGAAATTGTATGAAACCACACTGGTATATAAACTCAAATTAAAAGTAAACTGAAAATCTCCCAAAGATTTCCACCTTTTTTTTTTTCCTCCATATGGAATCAGTTTCCCTTATGTTCTTATCTATTTTTTACCAGCCTTCATGGAGAGATCACACTAAGAAAGCACTCAATCCCCATTTTGCTGTTTTTGCTGAGAAATACATTTGGAGAGAATGCTTTTTAAGTTCTCCCATTCCTTATATGAAGAAGATGGACAGGAAGAGCCCTTGTTTTACAGAATCCTATAAAATCACTTGAATTTATAAAAAAAAATATACATGGAGATTATAGGGAGTAATCAGAAAAGACAAAATATTTGTCATTTGAAATTATCTAGATTGACAAAATATGCTGTTTATATTCCTCCTCAAAATGTATTTTCCACATGCTTGAAAAATTAAAGTGCTCTGCAGATTTGTTTTTGATCCAGATTAAATGGTTTTGTATCTTTCCAAAGCCAGCTGTTAAATGAAGTTGATGGGATAACTTTGTAAACTATTCTACATATTCTATAAAAGGAAGACGAGTAACTGTATTTTCAGTACTATGATTCCAGCTTACATATGTAAAAACAGGAACACATAAAACCTTTTGTTTCATTGGGTACTGGAAGATTCAGACAATCAGAGAACATATAGGAATATTTTTCTGCACATTCAATTTTGCATGCTCAATCATCTGCATACATAAGTTGGGGATCATCTTTTAAAAACATAGCCAAAAATTTGGCATTTCAAATTTCTACATTAACTAATACTCTGTTATTAAATACAGATACAGGTAAGTAAAAGACAAAACCAAGTGGTATTACCTAGTCTTTGACTCAGCTACTTAAAATAAGCTTTCTGCAAAGACTTGTTCTTTTAGAAAAGATTTGTCATTCCTCTGTGGTAGCTATCAATCAGACACAACTTTTTTTTTAAAAAAACTTTAAATAAAATAAAATGTAATAGGAATATTCGATCTTCCAGTACTGATCAATAGTTCTTAATCAAAATGTGACAGTCTGACTCATGGTCTGCAACATGATATGAGGTGGGAAGATAAGATTATTGAGAAATGAGCACTAAATGCTGTTATCTGTAATGTGGATACATCACACATAATGCCTATGAAGTGTCAGTAATGACTTAAAAGCTATATAATAAAGTCTACCTATAGTTAGCCCTTCTTTTGGCATATTTTTTACACTGGGTGGTAACTATCTACTGATTTTAATGCCAGAAAAGCTCTTGAAGATAAAAGGAATGTGATAATTAAAAAAAAAAAAAACAACCAACTAAACTAAACCACTTTCAAGAGGCAGAGATGAGCATTTTCTTCTACTTTCAAGTTTTTTTTCAACTTTTAAATAGAACCCAATTCCTGATTTATAAAAGAAAATTAATATTTGGACCTATTTATTTCTGGTTATTTTTAACTTTTCCTCTGCTTTCTCTTCCCTCACCTTTGTTTTCTTTTTTGGTACTAGTAAGAAATTATGATCTTCACTTAAAAGTGTATGTCTGGGAATCAGAAATTTTTGGGCTTTTTTTCCCAAAGATTTCCCGTGCAGCCACAAATAAACATCTTATCCTCTATGTCAGTTCTCACACTTGATAAAAGAACTTTACCTTTGCATTTATCTACTTTAGAGAGTGTTGCTTCTCTCCTTCTGCCTGTGATTCTCGATTGCTGACCATTTTAATCCATTCATGTTTGCAAAGTACTTGAGAATTTCAGGATGAAAGGTGCAAGAGAAATGTAAAGTATATTATTTCGTGGTAGAATGCTTTAATTAAAACATCATGCAAATGGTTTCAAATGGTTTCAAATGGTTTCTATGGTCTACATTTAAGCTGCTCACCTACTCTTATGCAGCAAGAGACAGGCTCTTCTTGAAAATAAGTCATATGAGGATCCTGACTTTAGCTGATGCTGTCAGGCATGAGAGGAGCTTCCCTCTCCAACAATGGTAGAGGGAGCCTAGGGAGTTCACCTGCTGCCTTTGTGAATATCTTCTTCTGTTCTCTAGCCCCTAATATTAAGTAACTCTGTGCCTTATTTTAGCATCACTACCAACCCCTCAAAAAGCCAAGAAAAGCAGACTAGTAAATGAAAGAGCAAATGGTGGCTTGAGAAATGTTCATTCCTTTTTGTTCACTGGGCTTTTCTAATGTTATAAGATATCAGGATTTTTCAAGCTCACCTGTGATCTTATTGGGGAAGACTTTCAAACTAAGCTGAATTAAATCAAGATCTTAAGTCATATGGCTGTGGTTTGGAAGACAGCCACATGGTTTTTCTACCATGCATTCTAGAGTTTTGGCTGTGGCCCTATTCTGATTTTAGTGCCTTCGTCAGATTGCCACTTTTCCCTGCTGCAGGCAACAACTGCTTCTCTTACTCTGCAGAACCTCAATTTCCAAACAAGATCCAGCCTTTAAGCAGAACAAAACTGTTTCAGCAATCATTCTAGAACTTAGCAGATGTAGACCTCTTGCTACCAGTTCTGGTTTACTGCTGAAGCATCTCCTTTCATTGCTTCCCAAGGGATGCCTTCCATGGTTGACCCCCTAAACGTTCTACCTTTCCTCTCCCTTGTTTATCATTGCTTCAAGAATCATGTCCATCGTTATGAAATAACGAAGGATTCGAGGTTACGTACATACCTGTTCCACCAAGTACAGAACAAGTTGTCTAAAGGCAAGAAAATTCATTAACACCGTATACCTTATTCATTATAATAATCTAATTTGGAAAGTCTTTTCATGAGTAAACGGACCTGAGAAACAGATGAGAGATTACACGTTTGCTAACGTATTCATACTGATGAGCCTCACACAAGAAGAAAACAGGGCCAACCTGCCGAGGCCAGTTTGTAGATTACCACAGACACATAGATCTGGAAACAAATCCCACCGATTACGACAGCACATGTTTTGCATATGATGTAAATGCACACCTTTTACGCAGAGACTTTTCAAGTATAGAAAACAATCTCATGGTTTTGTAGAGGATTGGTTTTGGTTTTTTAAATGTTGCTGACTTATTCATGAAACATTTGTGATTAAATAGTAAAGATATAACTTCTTATTTGATTGTCGCAACTTATTACTTGTTTTAATATAAAAAGTGTTCCCGTTTCTCTAAACTTCTCTCAGACTGAGCATCAGTTATATCATGATTTGTGCTTTTTACCACCTTTTTTTAACTGTATGCAGCTATATACCCAGAACATCACATCTATAATTTTATAGATAGTCACCTGTCTTTCCAGGATCCTCCATTCCATTGCTCTGGATAAATTTCAGTATAATTTATGCTGTTTCTCTAACTGAGGACCTTGTAAAATATTGTTTGCCTCCCACAAACAACCAGAATTTTAACATAAGCAAGCTTGGATGACTGAAGAAACAAGGAAGGATGAGAAGACAGTCTTGGGGAGGGGGAACAGCAGACTAGAAACATTGAAAATGCCTGTCTCAGAATTGACAACTGGAGCTTTCTAGGATCAACAGCATTTGCACCTCATTCAGGGCAAAATTTTGATACTCTCTTCATCCAACCATACCTAGGACCCCACAGCTGAACTTGTTAATGAAATTCCCTCCCACAGTTAAAAATAAAAAACCAAAAAATACTGAATATGAATGTGGAAGAAAGACAATTTGATGTTTGTAATTATCGAGGTAAACTCCACGACCTGCTGAATGTATGCAAAATGGACACTGGATGGTGCATATAAAAGTGGCATGAGCAGAGAATAAGAGCAAGTATTGAGACTTCGTTCTGATAGAGCAAGTCATCATACAGGATCTCCACCATGAGCAATAAAGGGGCTTCACTGCAAGGTAAGACTTTTGCCATTCGTTTTTTCGTAACTTTTGTATTTCTTTAAATTTAGATTGAATTAGGAAGGAACTGAAATTTAACAGCTCTAGAAATTGAGGTCTGGCAGCCACCTAATCTTCCAGTAACGGTGAAACCTGCCTCCGCCTCCAATGTTTAGTGTCCAAAGATTGGAATTAGAAGGAAGCTTGATCCCTTTTTTGCTCAGTCTTTTGTCTCCTAAGTCTACTTTTGGATTGGGCAGTGTCACAAAAAATTGGCTTGAGGGATGTGACACCTGCACACAAAAGACTGGATCCAGACTGCTTTGCTACACCACGTGGAAGGTAACAACTAAAAGTCATTACCCACAAGTCTAGAAAAGATGTAGTAATTTTGAAGTGAATGTTTTCATAACCATCTTCAACCTTCTAAGCCAACAAGTCTCAGCTTTTCTGATTCATAGAATTGTTCCTCAGAGTACTTTCCTAATCGCAGCGTGCGGCACATACCTTGTTCATGGGGGAGGAAGAAGGCTCACTTCAATATTGTGTAAATGCACTCTTCTTGCATTTAGAGCTAGAAAGAAATTTGTCACATGATAGCAATAGGGACAGCTCTGCTGATTATGGAGTACACTTTGATTTAGCATTTAAAAGAAGTCTAGTGAACCAATACAGGTAGCAGACCAATTTCCAGAATTAAAACTCTCAAGAGCATAGAACAGTGTTCTTTGAATAAGTTCATTCATTTACCAAATATTTGCTTTTAATTTTTTCCATTGTTTTTCTGTGCTTATTTTATTTCACCAGATAGAAAACTTGACTCAGTTAATATTAAAAGTTTTAAACAGAAGAAGTTTTGTGGTTTAGATAATTAGAATTCCTCTATATCAGTTTCAGAAGCTCAGGAGAAAAGACAAAAGTTCTCTCTTAGCAGTAGGTAATTTAGGGTTAAACTCTAAAAAGCAAAGCAGCACAGCTGCTAGAAATCTTCTGAAGGAACTCCCAGGACAATCAAACCCTTAAGAGAGTGACCTAATCACCCTTTCACAAAATTAATTTAAACTCCAAATGTCTGCAAAGAAAAAAATGGACCTGTGGGAGGAGGAGGAGAAAAAATAGAAAAAAAAAAAAAAAGACCAATCTATTTCCCAAATGCATGTATCTGTGCAAATATCATTATGTTTCTATATTTACACTGTGAAGAAGTTTGATTTTTTTTCCTTCCATTTATCACTATGTAATAAAGTCAGACACAATAGTAAGAGACTTCAGAATACAGTGTACACTGCAACACAGATTACTTTGTCTCCTCAGACTCTCTAGTAGGCTCTGCTATACAGTCAGGATGAAGGAAGGGAGAAAGGATAACAGAATTACAGTGCTTCCCTCCTCCTTTTTCAGCAGCCAGTACAGGGGGTACTCTGAGCCACGTGACAGCACAGAAAAAATCACCCAGCACCTGACACTGACACCTCCTTCTATACACATATACAAGTCAATGTGATTCCATTTTGATTTGTTTTAAACCTGAACAGGTTTGTTGCTGGCGGTCCTTCTGGTGTCCAACATGCTCCTGACTAAGGAAGGAGTGACCTCCTTGCCAATCTGCCCCAGCGGATCTGTCAACTGCCAAGTTTCCCTTGGGGAACTTTTTGACCGAGCAGTTAAACTTTCACACTACATCCACTTCCTCTCTTCAGAAATATTCAATGAATTTGTAAGTACTCTGCCTTTTCCTGAGAGCAAGAAAATATAAAAATGCAATTTAATACTTTTTAAGCACAAACATATGCTTACATATTAAATCCTTCAATAATTAAATAAATATGACTGCTGCACAGACAGTGACAGTCCCAACGGTGACCAAATGTGTGTGTAGTGCTGACCATTGCTAAGATCCCCAACGCTTCTATTAAAAGATACCATTTTCCCCATCATTCTTTATCTGTAGGACAAGTTTGTGTTTGCTGGGTGCCAGTTTCACTCTAAAGACTCACCAGAAACTTTTGACCCTTACAGCATAAAAGCAGCGATAAAAGCAATGGAACAACAATTAGTTAATACAGTGTTTGAATTGAAGCTCTTCTTACTTATCTGTTTCAATAATGCCTGTCCTCGCTGATCTGCAGGATGAACGCTACGCTCAGGGCCGGGGTTTTATTACAAAAGCTGTTAATGGCTGCCACACTTCCTCCTTAACCACTCCTGAAGATAAGGAGCAAGCTCAGCAGATTCATGTAAGTCCCATTTCTAATGTCATTCAGTGTGAGATAGAGCAGGAGGAAAGGGGGAAGAGGGAGGGTTAAGGAATAGAGAGGCAGCAGGCAGAGAGGGAGGGAAGTCAGCTCAATCAGAATAAAAAAGGCCAGGAGGAGGAAAGCACCAAAATGCCCAGAAAAGTTATTTACCATTTGCCAATACTAAGTTACAGACTATACAGAATATAGAGATACCAGTAATTCTCATCTTCATCCTTCCTTTTCCTGTATGTTACATTCAGTCATTGCATCTTATTTCCAGTTACAATATAGCGTCAGGTAGCAATGCCAGTTGCCACGTTTCTACACTACTGAGAACACTACAACCTTTGAACATTATCTTAAAACACCTTAGAGACAATTATAGACAATTATTATATCAACAAACATAAAAATACATTGGCTATATATGGAATATAGCATGTAGGCAGAGGTAAATAGCATTCCAGTAACCGAAAACACTGACTTTACTAAAGAAATGCTAAATAGGTATTTTTGCTGTAGGCAAAAGTGGTCACATGGTCATCCAAATCCAAAGATTCAAATGCAAAATAAATACTTGTAAAGAGAAACATGCTACATACATCCACTCTATAATTATAAACTTAAGGGAAGATGAAGATAATGTTGTTCAGCCTATGATCACAGATACCATTTAAAAATACTGTGGCTAAAACAATAAGCACAGGTATATGAATGGGGGTGTGCCAGGGAGAAATCTTTATCCCTTTCATGGTGGTAATATCTTTGCAATCCCAGTATCACCAGCTTCTCAGTATATCATTCAGAAATTCTATTGGTACAGCCCTCGATATATAACAAGTCTGGTTGTGTTCAGACCCAGTGCATCAAGCAAAGAAGAAATGGTTGAAACTACCATAACCATAAGCTTTATGAATGTTTATTGCCACAAGAAAGGAAGAAAGGACAATTTTTAGAAACAGAGCTATTGCTGGAAGCACCATTGTTCAAAGGGGAGGACAGATGAGTTACATACAGGCAATAAAAGCTATTTATTAGTTTACCATAATGTGTACCATCCATTCAGTACTAAATTAAAAAAGAAAAAAAAAAATCACTGAATTTTAAAATGTTCATCAAAAATCAGAACAGGAGTCCTGTTTTTTTTTTTTCACGGAGATGAAACACTGTTGTGTTTGCTAGTTTTTAACATGAAGAGCATTTAATGATATTTTCCATTACAACACTGTAACTGCTTGTGCTAATATTGTACACCAATATGACAACAATGACAAACTTCAAAAATGCAATTACACAGAGGTATCTAAGACAGGGCTACAGGACACCTTCAGTGCTAAGTCCTGGAATGATTTCCCAAATCACTATGTCTGAGGACATTGCTCTAGATGCCTCCTAATACTGTCAGCATTTTAGCCTCCCTATTTTAACTGCATTTTCTTAATGTGCGTGAGCAGCATGAAGACTTACTGAATTTAATACTGGGAGTGCTGCGCTCCTGGAATGATCCTCTCGTTCATCTGGCCTCTGAAGTACAAAGAATCAAGGAAGCTCCAGACACTATCCTCTGGAAGGCTGTAGAGATTGAGGAACAAAATAAGCGGCTTCTAGAAGGAATGGAGAAAATAGTCGGGCGGGTAAGTATTAGGTCCTTAACATCCTTCTGACCTGTTGCTATAAGGAAGACATACAGTGATAGGTGGTCCCTACCTGGAATAGGAAAGGAAACAGTAGACAGGAGGGGAAAAAAAGGAGGCAAGATAGCTGAATCTGAGAACTTTTAAGCTTTCTTCTTTCAGCGTTCTTTTCTTCTCCTATCTTGCAATTTCTAAAGAGACAACGTGATGTGACTGATACACCATAATCCAGCGTACTCCCAGTCGTGCTTCAAGGGAAGCTATAATCATCAGGGCTGGAAATCATCATTCTGCCTTTGAATATTTTGAATTTGCAATCCTGATTTTTTAAGGATGTGTCTGTGATTTTTCACACGCACATATTTATATGTATGTTTTAGCATATTTATACACATCTGTATACATACAGGTATTGCGTATAGTTTTCAGAAACAGACACTGTGTTTAAAACTGTTCTGGAAGTCTGGGCTATTGCAAAGATGTGGCATAGAGCAAAGTAAGCATGTTCCATTTTTTGCCCCATAGCGGTTCCTCCGAACTCCTGCTCTGACTTGGTTCCCCCTACACTTGTAAGGTTAGACGAGAAGGCTGTTGTCTGACAAAACCCACACTCAAATACCCCTTGTTATCAGTAATTGATTGAAAGCTTTCCTGAATAAAATCAGCCCTAACTTGTTTATTTTTAAAGGGGCCTCTGTTAGTCCCTGAATATATCATTCTGTCAGTGAGCGAAGATATTAACAAGAGGTTCTGAATTTACTGGCTTTTGCTTAGGCTCTAAACAGCTGAAGAGCATTAAGAGTGTCACCATCACTGTATCCACTACTTTCCAGAAGTGCACTTATGGTCGCTCTCTCTTCCAGTTAGGTGTCTCTTTACTCAGAAACCCTAGCCCATCCAGACCACAAATGCATTTATCAGTACAATCAAATACATCTCTACCCCATACTCGCATGTAAAAAGGGTGCAGGCAAGGATCCAAGATAACAGTAGGAGTCAGGTGCTGCTACAGTTACCCTGTCACCACCTTCTCATTCACATTATTTACCAAAGGAGGCTGAAGACAAGACTGGCAAATTCATTAGTGTCAAACCACGATTTTGAGTGATAGCAGGTTTTTGGTTTTTTTTTTTTGCCTGTTGCTTAAACTGAGTGCTAGAGGCTCCACAGATCCTCTGCTACATGCTTTTACAAAGTACAACTGGTGGGCAACAAAGAAGATGCACAAGCCCCAATGGGCACAGATTTCCATGATATGAGAAAATTAGTGACTGTCTCTTTCAGAAAAGGAGACCTAAATGAAGCTTCACCTCAGATATTAACTCACTACATGAGTTCCTACACATAGCTTTGTAACATGTGACTATCACTCAACATTTTTTATTTTTTTTAATGGAATCTGAGCTACAGTAGATCTGAAGATACATCTGAACATGTACTGTTGAGAGATTTGTCTGGTAACATGTTCCTGATGCTGCCTGTATCGGAGAGATCACCTAAGCAATGGGCCGAGACAAAGCTGGAGATATACACAAACCAGTTCTAGGACAAGTGCTAACAAAGACTTCAAGGTGGAGGGAACCAAAAAGAGTTGTCCGTGCATGAATGAAGGTTTGATTTCTCTGCAAAGTCAGATTCCGTTAGACATTGGTTATCACACTAGTTCTCTTAAAACACTACTGACACAGTTAAGTTTTTTACATATTCTAGAGAAATAAACTGAAAAATCTAAAAAATTCATTAAAAAAATACATTAAAATATAGAATATTTTACAGAATAATGGGAACCATAACAGGAAAAACGTCAGAAGCCATACACTAGCAACTAGCATCCCTCAAGGCCAGCTCTTTACATGCTCTGTTCCCCATCCAGTCAGATTCACTCTCATTTACTACAGTATCATTTTGTGACTTCAGGTTCACTCTGGTGAGACCGGAAACGAAATCTACTCCCAGTGGGAAGGCCTTCCATCCCTGCAACTTGCTGACGAGGACTCCAGACTCTTTGCCTTTTACAACCTGCTGCATTGCCTCCGCCGAGATTCCCACAAAATTGACAACTATCTCAAGCTTCTCAAGTGCCGCCTGATCCACGATAGCAATTGTTAAATACTCACGGGCCCAATCGCTTCCCGAAACCCTTCATCATGGTGTTCTTGTTGCTTTGCCACTTTTCATTGCAAACTTTATGATAAGTTGTGCTGTACAGCATCAGGATCATCAGTAACTTTCAGGCATGTTTGTGTGAAGTCTGGCTGCAACTATTAGCACCATTTATCTTGGCGTTTTTAAATGCTATAAATTACTTGTATGACAAGAATACACTTTTCTGTCTTAATCTCCTCACCTAGTAGCATTTCAGTGATAACCAGATCATGCAGATACAAATAAAAATGTTATTAAATCCAAAAGCGCGTAACACTTGAGTGGTATCAGTGAATGAAAAATAGCTGGTATGGTTTATACCTTTAGCAGTAGCTTCTCTTTTTGGATCTCAGTCTCCAGTGGCTGATGACAGAATATCTTACTTTCCTCCCTTCCCTTATTTCCTTACCCCTGCTCCCAAAAAAAGGAAAGGAAAAAAGAAAAAAAAGGAGGGACATCAAAAAGCAGATTTATCAGCTAGTACACTAAACTACCCTTAATTAAAAGTATGGCCTGAAATCCAATCTATTTGGATCGATGCGTTTACTCTGTACAAAAACTGTCTGAGTAGGGGAGAGGAAGGTGAGAAATCCATCCTGGCTAACATAACCATCGATTGCCCATGCAGTTCATGGAGAGAGAAGAGACATCCGGAATTTTAAGGACAGATATCTATCCAGGTATAGCTACTTCTCTACTATTTGGAGAAGAGGCATTTCCAAAGGAAGTTTTGTTACTTTTGAGGTGACTATGTGAGGTCAAAGGAATCAATAGGTTTCAGTAGGTCCCAACAGGAAATGTTGGGCATCCATACCATATCCACCTAAGCCTTCGCATTCCTCACAAGTGAGGTGGTAGTTGCAGTTGCGCATAAAACTTTCAAGCTACAAAAAGGCAGTAGCTGAGCTAAGGTCTCTGCTGTCCTAAACCCAAAGGGTCTCTATTCACTTTGGGTTTAGTCACACTCAAAGCTTTTAGGGCACTCATTTCAGATCACTACAGTTAGACATCGGAAAATTGGAGAGACCAAAACAACTGGCTGCTTTTGAAAAAATCTGGCTTACAGTCACACAGCAACTAAGAAACCAGAGAACAGCCAAAGCCATTACAGAATCACAGAATCATATGGGGTTGGAAGGAACCTCTGGAGATCATCTAGTCCAACCCCCTGCCAAAGCAGGTCCACCCAGAGCAGGTTGCGCAGGAACGTGTCCAGGCGGGTTTTAAATGTCTCCAGAGACAGAGACTCCACCACCTCCCTGGGCAGCCTGTTCCAGGGCTCTGCCACCCTCAAAGTGAAGAAGTTCCTCCTCGTGTTTAGATGGAACTTCTTATGTTCAAGTTTGTGCCCAATGACCACATCTATATACTGTCTGTGTAAGCCATAAACAAACTCGTCCCTGGCTTCATCGCACAGCTTCAGCAAAGATGAGCTAAAATTCTAGTCAGCTCCTCGTGGGTCTGGCTTCCCACTAGACAAGCCCACTCCATTGCTCCAGAGTCGAGCCAGCTTGCAGGAAGAGTGAAACACCTGACTAGATGGGTTTGAGGGCTTAAGACTCTCATTACCATAACAGAATAATCACAGCCATGATAGGTATTTACATAAGAGATTAGATGGTACCAGTTGCTAGAAAGGTCTCATTTTAGCCATCTCTGTATGGATGTAATGATACTTGCATTTCTAATTATGTGTGTATATATATATATATAATGGCCTTTTAGTCTCTTCATGTTTTCAATTATTGATTGCCTCGGGCTTTATCTGGGTAAGTATATACTAAGCCCATTTTGAATATATATAAAATCACCCATACACTAAAAAAATTCCTTGTTGGACAGCCATAACTGACATTTTCTATTAGCCCTGAAATGCACAAAACTCGAGGAATATGCAACAGTGGTTTAAAAACACACAGCTGCACAACACCACAGTCAAGGAAGAAAATGGGCAAAATTTGCCAGGCAAAATGCAAGTGCTCAGACTAGAATTTAATCTGATCAAAATATTCTATTTTCTGTTATAATGCCAATGGGGACAAAAAAGCATTTTAAAGGCAAAAAAGAAAAAATATCCTTTGTAATTATCACAAGTGCTTAGAATTACAGTGTGAGTTCTTATTCAAAAGAAAACATGAATAATGGGACCACTCTGTATTGAGCTGGAAAAACGATTATGTCTCGCTGAGTAAACTCCTACCTCAGAATCTCTTTAGAATTCAAAAGCAACTTGATTAATAGGGCAGACATTCATAATTTTACACTTACATGACTAGATCTAAAACAATGACTTTCATTAACTGCTTAAAAATTACAGTGCTAAAACAATTGTTTAAAACTTGCATGCACTGGCTTTATTATAGCCTGTTTTAGTACAATTATGAGTTTTTAATTTCATAAAGAAAGATGGAAGAGAATGACAAAAAAATATTCTAAACAACTGAAAAAGCTATCTGTTTTGCAGCTGTTTAGCTAAAGGGGTATTTAAAAGTGATTTGGTTAATATTCTGAGTCATCACAGCTGTCACAGAGACAGAAAGACTTGGAAGCTCACGAGCACATTCAGAGCTACACCTTCATCGTCAAGTGCCCTGGCATGGACAATGCCTTCAGGCTCCCAATGTTCGAGCCACAAGGCAGGCCAACTGGCAACTCTCTTTCTTCCAGTTGCTAATAAGAACAATGCATTCTTATTGCACTAATATTTTGGTAATTGGTGCACGTTCGTAAAACCTGAGCAACTATTGTCTTTCGTCCAATAAAAACAGTTACGTAGGAAATCTCTTATTTCATACACAACTGAATTTCGAACAAGCTTGCTCTTTCTCAATGAAAGAAACTGATATCAAGAAGAGGTTTTTTCCAAGTGTATTAACTTCTGACTGCTTCAGGTTTCCAGCATTCAAAATGGCTAGTTTTCTAATTATTTATTCAATACCCAGATTGGTCATATTTAAAACTCTGCTGGTTTCTCCACTTCTGTTCGTTTAAGATTGTTTAATGATAGGAAGGGAAAGGCAAGGTCCACATGGCTGAAATATAGGCTCAATTCCATTCCCTTTGAAAATGATATTCAAGCTTCCATAGATGGCACTAAACTTAAGACCTTGTGACACCGAATCTAAATGGGATGAAGTTCAAGCCAATTCATCACTGAGAGCATTTATCACTGAACACAACAGAGCAATAGAGATATGCAAAATAAAGATCTAACTTGCTAATCATGACTTGTATCTAGACTCTAGGACTATATCCAACCACTGGAGCAAACAGAAATAATTTTGAGGAGGATTTTAAAGCCAATGAAGGAAGATTTTACTGACACTATATGTCATTTGGAACCAGCTGCTTAAACTAGTAATGTGATAATCTCTCCATCATTCTTTTTTTTCAAGATCCTACAAAAAGCCTCCAATGGTTTAACTTCTAGCAGAAAAAAAACCCAAAACTATAACAAGGCAACTAATCTGTACAATGCAGTTTACCTTTACAATATTATTTCAAAGGCAATCCACAATTCTAATAACAAGGGATACGTGTAGAAAACGCAGATATCTTCTAAATTTAATTTCTGAGCAACAAAAATTCTCTGAGGGCTACATTTTAAACGGAGTCTGTGTATTATAAATGAAATTTACACAAACAACAGATTATGTCAGAGATGTAAACTCAGTAATCATACCTATGTAAATATCCATATACTACAGAAATCAAATACTACAATCATACATGGAAATAACAACACAGCCATACATATTCCCACTGAAATTACTGGGTTTACTGATCTGTAAAGCTATTTACATGTATGACTATTTCTAACTCAAGCTCTTAACGACTTGTGCCTGCAAATTCCTTTGGTAAATCTTGAAGACTGAAGCTGAGCCTCAATGTTCAATTCCATTGAAATTTAACACTGACTATCCATACGTTTATGTTAAGTGTTAAAAAGAGATTTAAAACTAGTTTTAAAACATAATGATACCTTTTTGAAGCTCTTTATGCTTGTATCCACTTTAGGAATGAAGCTAAATTCAAATAAACATCAGTCCTGGAAAACAGCAGGAATGTCAGCCATGGTTTTCAAACTTTTTTTCCCCAAACAACTCAATGACTATCAGATAATGTTTCAACAATATCTACTATCATTGGGATTTTAAGGCTATATTTAGATATATCCCCCTATAATTGAACATTTTAAAGATGTACATTTTCCCATAGTGATTTTTCATTTCCTTTCATGTATTCAGCTATGAGAAGGAAATGAAAACAGATGAGTAATGGTGCACAATGTCCTCTGAACTATATCTTTGCAGCGCAAACTGTCCTTATCTTTGCTGAAAAAAAAGGGTTCAGAGACTTCTCCCATTTTCCTTGTTTCCTTTTTTTTTTTTTTTTAAGGTCCCATGGACAGATTCTGTGGAGCACAAGGAAAATACAATGCTATTTTGAAGGAAAATACAGAAGCCACCTTTCAATCTATAAATTTATTGTACATTGAGGGAAAAAACCAACCCTGTTGCTTCCTTTGTCACTAAATGTCTTTTGTACCACCATATTTACGCTCTTGCAGTCATTCAAGAAGCTCTAGAATCTCATGCTGACATTTCGTATTTTGGGAAGAATAAGTTGTCATGGCATACTGTCTTCTAATTCATGTGTTCAAAAGAGAACTGAAGGGTATAATCACATTTTGTTGCTTTCCTCATGAAGGAATTCTGAAGTTCTTTCACTGAGAGGTACATTTTATATCAGCATTGGCTAGGCCACATAATCTTATTTTTTTCCTCAGAACACAGTGCAAGTGGTAACAAACTAAGTGAAAGGAGGTTGTAGAAAGGTTTTCAGGGTCACAGAAACACTTGGTCTCTCGCTCAAGAACCATTGATGTATAAACAGAATAAATGAATGTTCATGCCCTGTTTACTATTGACACTGAGCCTCACTAAAACTTCTAAGGACATGTCTTGGACTGGGAATTGCTATATTTCACAACCATTTAAAAATTACGGTGTAGACACTAGTCAAAATTTGTTAAAGAGAGCTTTTACAACAAACACTTCTTTAGATTTTATCCAGTCTGCTACCAGAGAGTGCTTTGCCAAGCATAAAAATCAACGGTATTTACCAACGCTATTTAATAGTAGCAGTCCCTCAAAAATTCCCTTTTCCTGTCAAACATCACCACATTAATTATGGGAACACTTTTCTCTTTTTAATAAATGATAGGGTTCATTACACTGAAGAATACCAATCACTTATTAATTCA